AAAGAAAGAAAGAAAGAAAGAAAGAAAGAAAGAAAGAAAGAAAGAAAGAAAGAAAGAAAGAAAGAAAGAAAGAAAGAAAGAAAGAAAGAAAGAAATTAAGACTTTGTGCTTTAAGGGATGAGAAAGATGAAAATGAAGGGAGACTGGCAGGTATCTTTCATCTGATCCTAAAAGGGACGTCAAATTAGAGAGCTTCATGGGATTTACAGTATTTCTAAGCCCCCTTTCTACCCACAGAGCTTTGATGACACACTGGCTCTCACCAGGCCTGAGTTATTGCCATTTCATGCTCTACACGCCTTGCAGTTTACAGCTATCAGAGCAAGGACACACATATGACAAGTCTGCCAACATGGACAAATTTAGATTGAGATCTATCATGACAGTAGGCAAACACTGAGGATGCAAACTCGCGTGCACATCATGACACAGTCACTCTCCAGCGTTCCAGCTGCTATTTGATTTATGGTGTGGCACATGGCTCAGTATTAAAGTTGACATGAAACACCACATTTATAATGGCTAACTTACACCATGGAGTCTAATACAGCGCACCTGACTCAAACAGGTTCTCCTCCATACAGTCCTCATTTGTAAAGTGCTCTAGAAACCCAAACATTACAGCAAACAGGTGGATTTTCCAGTTTGAGTGCAGCTAGTAAAGAATGAAAAACGTGTTGCTTTAAAGACAGAAAGTAAAAGTGGACGGTATATCCTCTTCTTTTTTTTTTTTTAACATAAAAGCCATTGTTGTAGCCACAAGCAGTACAAAACTGACCTCTTTAGGCTTATTTTCAGTTTTAATTGCCTTGTTTTCCACTTAGTTATCGGTCCTATCAGTTAGCTAACATAAACTAATGTGAGTCCATCCGGTCTTTAAGTCTGACGTCATTAGTCGTTTCAGGGTCCAAACTCCGCTTCGGGTCCCAAAGTCAAACAAATACTGCGGCATCACTGAGAGTTACAAACTGATTCAATTTTTTCATCTTTAATAAAATGACAATTGACAATTGTGATCCATGAAAACAGAATTTATTAAATTTAACAGAGTTAGAAGTTAGCAGGAAGTTAGCGCACTAGTTTCCACCTAAGCATGATATACCATGTTCTGACTGAGAGATTTCTGAAAAAATTAAAACGTACAGCTCTGCTGTCACTTCCAACATAAATGAAGACAGAAAACTAAACAGCAGTGACGTTTGTAGGGTTACTGAAGTTGGACTAGCTGGTATATAATGATGTGCTATGTGATGGCTAGCAAGACAGCTACGTTAGCATAACGTAAACACATTGAAGCTGGAGGATGAATGCTAACTTTTTCCACTCAATAAAAGTTAATATCATTGCATGGCAGGATGGTGTAAACGGACCAAATTAGGAGAACAACTGAGATAATCCATCCACAATATAAGGTTAGTCATTAATATACTGCTGCATGGGCTGGGCTGTACAGGGAGTGCAGAATTATTAGGCAAATGAGTATTTTGTCCACATCATCCTCTTCGTGCATGTTGTCTTACTCCAAGCTGTATCGAAAGCCTACTACCAATTAAGCATATTAGGTGATGTGCATCTCTGTAATGAGAAGGGGTGTGGTCTAATGACATCAACACCCTATATCAGGTGTGCATAATTATTAGGCAACTTCCTTTCCTTTGGCAAAATGGGTCAAAAGAAGGACTTGACAGGCTCAGAAAAGTCAAAAATAGTGAGATATCTTGCAGAGGGATGCAGCAGTCTCAAAATTGCAAAGCTTCTGAAGCGTGATCATCGAACAATCAAGCGTTTCATTCAAAATAATCAACAGGGTCGCAAGAAGCGTGTGGAAAAACCAAGGCGCAAAATAACTGCCCATGAACTGAGAAAAGTCAAGCGTGCAGCTGCCAAGATGCCACTTGCCACCAGTTTGGCCATATTTCAGAGCTGCAACATCACTGGAGTGCCCAAAAGCACAAGGTGTGCAATACTCAGAGACATGGCCAAGGTAAGAAAGGCTGAAAGACGACCACCACTGAACAAGACACACAAGCTGAAACGTCAAGACTGGGCCAAGAAATATCTCAAGACTGGTTTTTCTAAGGTTTTATGGACTGATGAAATGAGAGTGAGTCTTGATGGGCCAGATGGATGGGCCCGTGGCTGGATTGGTAAAGGGCAGAGAGCTCCAGTCCGACTCACACGCCAGCAAGGTGGAGGTGGAGTACTGGTTTGGGCTGGTATCATCAAAGATGAGCTTGTGGGGCTGGATGCGGGTTGAGGATGGAGTCAAGCTCAACTCCCAGTCCTACTGCCAGTTTCTGGAAGACACCTTCTTCAAGCAGTGGTACAGGAAGAAGTCTGCATCCTTCAAGAAAAACATGATTTTCATGCAGGACAGTGCTCCATCACACGCGTCCAAGTACTCCACAGCGTGGCTGGCAAGAAAGGGTATAAAAGAAGAAAAACTAATGACATGGCCTCCTTGTTCACCTGATCTGAACCCCATTGAGAACCTGTGGTCCATCATCAAATGTGAGATTTACAAGGAGGGAAAACAGTACACCTCTCTGAACAGTGTCTGGGAGGCTGTGGTTGCTGCTGCACGCAATGTTGATGGTGAACAGATCAAAACACTGACAGAATCCATGGATGGCAGGCTTTTGAGTGTCCTTGCAAAGAAAGGTGGCTATATTGGTCGCTGATTTGTTTTTGTTTTATTTTTGAATGTCAGAATGTATAAATATAAATATATATATATTAGTTTTTTGTTAAGTTGCCTAATAATTATGCACAGTAATAGTCACCTGCACACACAGATATCCCCCTAAAATAGCTAAAACTAAAAACAAATTAAAAACTACTTCCAAAAACATTCAGCTTTGATATTAATGAGTTTTTTGGGTTCATTGAGAACATGGTTGTTGTTCAATAATAACATTATTCCTCAAAAATACAACTTGCCTAATAATTCTGCACTCCCTGTAGTTACATCAGAAGGTTTTAAAAACTGAGCTTTAAAATGAATAGTGGTAATAAAAACCGAGCGAGGCCAACAATTATCACTGCCTTTTTTAGGGGCTTGTTCAGATTAAATAGAACAAGATACAAAGCATTAAAACGTGTTAAAAACACAAGAACCTTATTAAACGCAGAGTAGTTTGGACCTGGAGCAGGGTTCATATGTCATCACTTAAAGACCAGTGGCAAACCAACCAAACAACCTAGTGATGTCACGTTCTATACTGGCACAAGATGGTGCTTTAAATGCTCTAAAAACGTTAACTTTAAACACTTCTTGAATCCAGCTTTGCAGACACTGCTAAATCCGTGACAACTGCTCTTTCTGCCTGGCTGCTGAATGTTGTTACTGTATTGGTTGATGTGTTTTATTCCTAAGACATGCAGAAAATATAAATATAAAAAATGTAAATGACTATAAAAAGGTAGGCATGTATAACTATGGTTCATCTCTAAAACACCAAAGAAAAGAAAATAGTTTGAATTTGATGGATTAAAGAATAAATGATGCTTTTAGATGAATATGGTGGGCATTTATTTTGTTTGTTTTGTCATTTTGAGTGGGTCATGAGCTAAAGGCAGGCATGAATAGTGTTCAGCGATAATTTGTATGATTTGTTCTGATCTGTTTGGTATGACAGATGTGTGCAGTCAACCGTCCCAAATCAGCCTTGATGGCGTGAATACTCAGGGTCTGATAAGCTGTCAATTACAGAGAAGTGCTTTGGAAAAACATCACCTACAAGGGTTTGAAATCACAAGAGAGAAAAAAAATACTTAATATGTTTTGAAATAATGGCTTATTAAAATCAGGGCATGAGAGTTGATAGACTTGACAATAATTTGTTGACACATATTTTTTAATATTTTCAATTTAAATCATTTGTGCAGCGCTTTTTAAAAAATCCTCCTCAGGTGTAGGTTCAATAAAATATCTGCAAGTTGAGGAAACGCACAGTTTTAATACATGTGATTTACTTACTGTACTGAACACTGTACATTTTATTTACAGCTTCTATAATCAACTTAAAATATTACAATTGATCAAATGACTTTCTGTGTGTCAAAGGAGTAACTCATAGTGAAAAACCCACAGTGATTTACTGGTTGGCTGTGCTGACCCTGTAGGTTCAGCACTTTACCTACTGGTACTTATAAAGTGTTTTTTTTTCTTTACTGTAACTGCACTCAAAGCACTTTTGACTACAAATGACATTCGCCCAGTCACACGTTCATGCAGGCGCTTTTTCTGTACCTAAGTGCTTTGTCTAATATTTGCACACACACTCACGCTCCGATGGACACATCAGAGGCAACTCGGGTTCATTGTCTTGCCCAAGGATACTTCAACATGCAGACTGGATCCACCAACCTTCTGATTATTAGATGGCCTGCTCTAAGTCCTGAGCCACAACTGCTCCCACTGTGTAGTCAAGTCATTTGTGTAATTATGGGTTGGGTCACAGGACCTGCATTAAAGGCTAGACTCCACATGGATTACATCAGATTTTACAAACCGATTATTTACTTTATATTTTGTGTGATGTGATGATTCCACGACAAATCTTAGAGTACAAGTCTTAGAGACACTTGACATAACAACAACAACCATCAACAACCAATATCATGCAAATTACAAGTTATCATTATCACACTATTTCCTCTTTTAAGGTACCTCACTGGCTCAAGCTGTATGATCACTACAATGATTTTTAACATCATGGGAGTCCACCCATCTGATTTTTTAACCTTTTTATCTTTTTATCTAACACTAAAATCAGCCCATCAACAAAGACACTGGCATAGAGATGGAGAGGGTGGAAATATCAGGTCCCCACCCAGACATTTAAATGGCTAATTGCTGTTCTTCAGTGCACGAGTGAAGTCAGCAGCAGTGGAAAATTTGTAATGAGCAAAATGTTCAAATATGAGCTGATGTTATGCATCAATTCGTCCAGCTCTGCTACACACCAAGTTAAGAACATAGACTGTATTTTAAGGATGGATGTAGGCACTGTGACATCATCCTTTGGTTTGTAAAGCCCAGTTTTGAAGCCTTGAGACTGGTGTTTGGAGTGGAGTGCTAAGTTATTATCTAATGATCACAAAGCTTAATTAGCAAATTTCATAAATAGACTACATGCGATCAAATATGTGCCATACTGCAAAAATAACATACTGAAAAAATAATACTGGGTTCTGGAGCACTGAAACAGGAGCAAAGACTTCCTTGACAGGCTGTTAGTATAATTAAGCAGTATGCCACATATTCAGATAATTTATGTGGAGGTGAAGTGAAGATGACCTGTAACCTGTCACTTAAGGCGATCTCATCTTTAAACTAGATATAAATGGTTGAAAATGTACCCTTGTATGATTGCTATGAAGCCTTTGTTAGCTTTTAAGAGTACCACACTGTAAACATTAATTTGTTTCTGCAAAGCTCAACGATATCCATGGGGACTGACTTGCTTTGCAGAAACAGCCTCATTTTTACATGGCTTTACTTTCTTAGCCCTGGAGCTTGGTTAAAAAAGCGAGAGTGGATTAAAAGGTAAAGACACCTGAGCAACCTGAATGTGTAATCAATACTTACGACTAATGAGAGCTGACAGTATTGATCTGACAATTTGGCTGCAAAGAGCGTGTATGTGTGTGTATGAGTGGGCCAGGAAGTGTCTTATCAAAAGCATCCTGAAAGCGGTCAGCTAACTAATGGCCAATACAGACTTGCTGTCCAGTCTGTCGTTTCTTATCTCACAGTGAAATAGCTTTATAGAGGCATGTATAATAAGATAGCTGGCAATCCCAGGTCTGCTGGTTAGAATGACAAACATCGGTATAGGTGGACTTTCCACAGGAGTGAATAAAATGAAGCAAGGTCCCAGTTGCTCTCTAAATGTAGTAAGAAGGATAGCATAGAGTCTATTTTTATGTCCCGAGTACCTTGGCAATGATGCTGCAGAGCTGAGGTCCATCCTGGGTTAGGGACAGCAGGTTGCTAATGGCACTACCAATGGTATGAAGGCTGTCCGATGATTCAATCTGCTTGATCAGAACCTGCAAGGAAGTTGACATCTTTATCATTTTATTCACAACTCAACACATTTCAAATCATCACTTTTGACGACAGGATGCAAAAATCTGTTTCTAGTGGCTCATTAATACTGTTATGGTGTCAGCTGTGTCATCTTATTTCGATACAACCACTGGATAGCACAAACATGACAGGCATTTCTAAGTCTATTTCTATAAGTGTGCAACAATCAAGGGACAATTTCTCTCCTTCTTATCTGACCCAAACATGGAGGGTAACTATATATATATATACATATATATATGTGTGTGTGTGTGTGCTTGGATCCAAAATATTACTATACACAGTATCTGTTTTAACGGCATAACAGTCAGTGTTGCTTAAAGTGGGACAGAGAACAATAGACTGCATTTATAGGATTGACTGATTGGTTGATTGACATAATATTACTGGCAACTTTTCGTGTTGCCCCTAACTTTCTGTCTAGAAAAAAAAAGAACTAAGAGTAGCCAGCAGTATCTGCAGGACTGTACACCATGATTAAAGGCACTTGTTGCAATTACCCGCCACAAAATTTAAATGATAGCCTTCACCACCAGGTGGAAGCATTTTACCAGTAGGTAGGTATGTGTAGGTACTTTAATTACAATTTATTTCCATTTATATTTTAAATTGTCTGAAATGAGCCTGTTAGTTCTCTTTAATTCTTTTAGTTATACAAAAATTATTTATCTACATGACACTGTAACGATGATCTATTAATCGGGAGGCTATTTAGGGTTTTGTTTTGCTTTGGTTCTTTTCCTCTCAGCCTACTCTTAGGTGGAGATGGGCAGGTTCTGCTGTGGGACTCCACGCTGCAGCGAACACACCTTTTAGGATTCACTCATTTCCATCCAGTACTTAAGGACCAGCTGAAGCTCACATTCTTCTCCAGATTGTTGTTGAAAGTAGCCGTGGTGATCAGGCTCCTCGTGCTAACTGTAAGTCACAAACTATGTATGTTCCTTGTGGAAATCTTGGTCTTCCCCATCGCCAAAACTCTCTTCTTTCTTTTGATCACTCCATAACAACAAACTTTGCTAAATTCAACCCTGAGATTGTTTGGCTCTTACTTCAGAGTTGAATTATTTACACCACTGATTACAACACTCTTATAAATTAGGCAAAGCAACACCTCAACCTATCAGCAAAATTATAAACACATGACACTGCAGAGCACACAATGGAATATGCGCAAATACAGAAACTACATACCCGGATCTCATTGGCTAAAGCCATGTCAATCATGTTGCTGAACGAGTCACTGACATCTGTAAGGATCTCATGGATGGCCTCCCTCATGGATTTCAGGAAGAATTCATCGTCAGTGTGAAGGCACCTGTGGGTGCAAATCAAATGTTTGATTTAGAAAAACCAAAGTATTTGTTTGGGAGTTTTTTAAATTACTGCATATTAACGTTGTAGATTTTACCTCTCTGTAATATTAGTCAGCTCCATACACTTTTCCAGCAAAGACTTCTCATACTACAACAAAACATGCACATTTAAGTGGTCAGACCTCCACAGTTCTAAACATAAATGGCCTGTCAGTGGGGTATAACTGCAGGTATTTGTAGATAACAGATGAGCAAATAATGTTCAGTAATGTAAGCTCAGCTTATGTCAAACAGCTCCAGTTAAAAAGAAACATTGTTCAGTTTTTTTCATTACTGTAAAATGGACACATTTTTATGTATGCAAACCTAATTTTCAAAGTCAACCATCACCTTCTGCATCTCCGGCGGTGTGTTTCGAGCTGCACTGTACTCATGTACCAGTGAGCGAACATGGCAGTTTGCCCGTACAGCTGTGCTGTGGACCCTCTGCCAGCGTCCCTTCTCCAGCCGCTGAAACATCTTTCCTAGCTCTGTGCTGACCACCAAAGCTCGGCGAAGGAGCGTCTGCAAGTTGTTTCTAGCCACGTGGTCCCCTGCACCAACCCCAGAGCCCACAATCAGCTCTCCCTGCTGAGAGTCCTCCTCTACCCCGATGGGTTTGGCCTGAAGGACACACATGCACTCTACTTCCGTCATGTGACGTAGGTCTTCCATCCACCGCTGGACCGAGTCAACCTGAAGAGACTGCGCACGGGTACTGTGGGTGAAACAAACAGAATAATAGATTAAAAAATGTAATCTAATGTAAAAGTCTCAGTGTGAACAGGACTTTTTCTTAAACCAGAGGCAAAAGAACTAAGAGCAGGGATGTAGATTTAACATAATTTCAAGGAATCCCCTGTTTTCCACATGTTTACATGCTGCATGTTCTCATTTATAACTCCAGCTTCGACCAAAAGTGAGTCAGCAATCCTGAAGACAACGGTGTCCCAATTTTTTGATTTTTGTTAGTGATACAACAGCGTTATTCAGCTTGTTGTGTATATCTGGTCCATTGCAAACAAAATGAAGGAAGATGGCACAGACCATTTTTCTATTGCCATCTATTGATTTGGTATGCGAAGAAAACTTCTTTCCCTCCTTCTTGTTTGCTCAGACTAAATCGACAGCAACTGGCTCTTTGGTTTCTCATTATTAATTAGAATCAGAATCAGAATCAGAATCAGTTTATTGCCAAATGTTGAGCAGGTTTACAACATTAGGAAATTGCTGCGGTGCTTCAGTGCAAACATAGTGTCATAAATTGCGATTAAATAGACATGAAAAAAAAATAAAAGTAGGAATAAGAATTAAAAGTGCTATGTAGAAAGATATGTGCATGAGATATACATGAGATATATACATGAGAATAAGAATTAAAAATGCTGCATAGAGAGATATATACATGAGTGCAGGTGGTGATCAGTGCCAAGCATGTAATGATGCAGTGACACAGCGTAGGGTCATGTGTTTGTGGCGGGGACAGTCATATGGTTATTGTTCATGTGTCCAACAGCAGAGGGGAAGAAACTGTTCTTATGGCGAGAGGTTCTGGTGCGAATGGACCGGAGCCTCCTGCCTGAGGGGAGCAGGTCAAACAGACTGCTATATCGAATACATCGAATACATATTGCTAAACAAACACTGCTACATACATGAAATGAATGTGCACTGGTTACTATGTACTGAGGGTAGTGTCATGTTAGAGAGAACATCATTAATGCTGACTGTCCTGCCTGCTATTCTGTAGCTTAAGCACATTTACATGAAAAAAGTCTGATCATCTTTGCCTCCTCCACAAGAAATAACATGGGTAATCAGTGGAAAATTAAGGAAATTCAAATTGGTTGTTAGGAAGCTTACTTGTCTGTGCCACCCTTGTCATCTCTATATAATTTTCCTGTTGTTTTTTCCTTTTTTCTTTGGAAAAAGTACATGATATATCATTAATCTCTTATGCCAAAACAAACACTGCTAATCCCTCACACAAACATCAATTGTCTTTATCCCATCATGGCCGGTGTATCTGCTCTGATGCAGGCTACTCATTATTGGATAAAAGAGAGGACAGTGTTTGAGTCAAAGATGGAACCTGCTCACTTCAATATTGAGCACCTGGCTTGTGAGTCAGAAAATGATCTAGCTAACAAACACAAACTGTACACCACCACTGGACATGGGTTGGAGTTCTTGCTCCTGTTGGCAAATCTTGCTGCAATAAATATAAGGTGAGCTGATATAAGGTGACAGCTTAAATTTTAGTTAGCTAAAACTGACCTCCAGCAAAGAGTTTTTCTTTTGTGTTTTTGGTAGTACTTGCATGTGTGTATTTCATTCTTTGTGAAACATGACAGATTGAAAACTTTTGAAGAATTCCTTGCTCATAGGGGGTGATTGTTGAGTTTTTCTCTGTATGAATTAGGGTCTACCTTACAATATAAAGCGCCTTTAGGCGACTGTTGTTGTGATTTGGCACTATATCAAAACAAAAAACAAAAAAACGGAATTGAAATGAATTAATTGGAAATAAATTAAAAAAAAACATGAAAAATAATGATGCTCAAAATTATGTTAAGTATATTAAGATGGGTTTCAACAGAGCAAATAACTTACATATGTAAGTACATAAGTATGTTTAAAAAGAAAAATCTAACCCAAAATTACAAAATTTCTTAAGGAACCAGCGAGCCTCGACACATCAATTGGGAACCATCCATATACCATATAGGTTATACATGTAAACTCCAGTATCATGATAATCAGTCACTGGAGACTACAGTATTCAGTTCTAAAATACCCAAATCAATAATGTGTTGTCAAGGTCAGTTATTCACAGATGATAGCCATCTTCTGTCCTCATTAGTCTAATCCCTCGTTTCCCCTCAGGATTGTGATGGCTTTAAGAAGCAGCTTTACTGAGCAAACACTCTCCCCACTTCAATCTCTCCCAGCAATGACCCTAATGAAGGGAGGCTTAAGGGGGCAATCCAGAGGCCAGCATCCCGCGAGGCAAAGCTCCCCGAAAGAGGATGGGTCGATGGCTACAACAGCCACCTTTGCTTTGAGGGAACACAGAGGAAAGGGTCTGAAGATGAATATTTTCCTCTTGGCTCTTGACTTGACTGCAGTTTGAAATGGCAACTGGCAACACATGTTGGGATATTGCACTGGTATTGAGTATTGGCTGATATCATCTGAATGAAGCACTGTTGTGTTTACATTTAGAACAAAGATTTGTCATTGAACAGCAGCAGCCATCATTATTAAGTGATGTCTTCGAGCTATGCAATGACCTTTATATTTTAGCAATAGCGGGTTACACAAGAATAAATCCTTAGCAAGCCACAAATCTAATTATAGCTAATCTTATATTAAACATGATTGGAGGGCAGATGTGTGCTAGGGAATGGAACAGCAGATTTATATCACATTCATTTAAATTTTGAGTCGGCTACGAAAGACAAAGCATGTATGTTCTGATAAATATACATTCAGTGAGTCATCTGCCAACTGGGGATGGGGAGCATCACGGCGAAAGATGTAAAATGTGCAGGCTGTAGAGAGAGGCAGCTCAGTGGTTCGAAACTCTGAAGCAGAGATAAATCTCATTCATTGTAAGAGAATGGAGATGTAATTAGCTATAAATTTAAACTGGAATAAGTAACTGCACAGAATAGTAAGCATTAATATGCCGCTTACTCTGCTAAGTGGGGTAAAAAGCTTCAGAGTGATCATCAGATGAGATGAGTTTTAGTTTAACTCTACCTAGGCGATTAAAGATATTAATATCTTTAAAATACTACTGAATCCTGTTTCCTGTTTTTTTCCTGCTTATTTGAAAGCCTCTTAAAAACCACTCTAGTTCTTGAAAGGTCCTTTGTTGGAGATTTGTCACGCAGCGGTGAATAACACAGTGATTCAACCTAAGTGGCAGATTAGTCACAAAGCTAAAGGTTTGATAATTATTAATTCTTTTTTTGGGGTGGGGGAGGTTTATTGGATGACAAAGAAACATAAAAAAAAAGCCTAATGGTAAAATGTGAACATTTGAAACTGTTTCCAGAATCTCCTGGTTTCTATCAGTCCAAAAATGTCATTTTAAAACCATTTGCTCGGTTATATCATAGCATCACACCAGGATGAACCCATCTGGATTTACACAACCAATAAAGCCCCGAAACACTCCCGTCATCATATGTTTAAAAAAAAAAAAGCAGATAATAATAGGTTTGTTTTCCAAAGGAGGGGAAGCGGTGCACTTCAGCTTGCAGGGCATGACAAATATTTACATGTGGGGCCAAAAGAGGGTCAGGCGACAGCAACTCTATTATCCCAGACAGGATGTCTCTGCAGTGATGAAGCATCAGTACTTCTCATCTGCTGGCAGCTGGCTGGCAGAAAACTGAGCAATGGTGGCAACGAAAGAGACAGGAGCTGGTTAAAAGGAGATAGCTGCGTTTTTGTTGCACGATTCTGCTCTTGTCGGTTTTTCATTTTAGTGTTCATTCTGCGTGATGATGAGGTAGGCGGGAGATGGGCTACTGTCCGATGGTGCTAATTCCATTTTTCAACCTATGCATCTTTAAGGATAGAAAAACACACAGTATCAACAGGTTCCGCTGTTTAAAAAACGGTAAACTTGGAGAATGCATAATCTGTTTTTAAAAAATATAAAGTGTAGTTGGTAAAAAAAAAAAAAAGAGTGGGACAATCTCTGAATGTTAAGATGAGTAGCTGAGCTTCATCAAAAAAAGGGCAAATCCTCTATGGATTTGTGAAGGAGTTCGGGCTGGTGTGCTGAGCTGGTGCGCCACAGTGAACTCACTCTTCCTGTAACACATCAGGTGAGAATTATAACTGGAGCTTTTAGATTATTCCCTCTTAAACTTTTTATGTACTTGAGGCACATGGAGTTCTGCTGCATGAGTCACTGTCAGGCTGCTGCTGTATGTTGAGCCCCTAAACGATCTATCCCTTAGCTCCACTGCAGATTTATGAAACAGAGAAGCTTGTGACCGCAGGGTCAGTTTGCGAGTGTGTGTTCTTGTGCTTTTCTTATTTGAAGAGTTATGTTGGCTTTAGGTTAAGATAAGGGTAAGAGTTGGGCTATGCTCAGTCACAAACAGTCTGTTTGATGTTTTCTCACAGGGAAATCGTCATGGATGTTCCAAACTGCCATGCTCAAAGGCGAATGAAAAGCCAGCCGCCGTGGTACTCGGTTGTTGAAATAAAAAGCGACAGAAACAGAAAGTTAGAGACAAAAAAAATATCAAACCCCACATATCCACTTCACATGAAAGTGAGTGTGGATGTCATAGTGTTGGTTTTGAAAAGTGGGGTTGTGTTGAGGCAAGAAGATGCATTATGTATGTACTGTTTTTTAGGAAGGTTTTTTGCATGTTTTTATTTTAAAGGCACTTTTTTTTTCTCTCGATGCAAAAGCGATGCCAGTGATAGAGGCTGCCATCGTTTTCTGATCATCTGCACAATAACTTTATAAAAATAAAACAAAGTAACTGCATATTAGTTTACAGGCTTGCTTGCTAGACATCAAGGATACTTCTCAACAAGTTGAAAATTATATGAATATTTGACCTATATTAGCAGCCTCATAGCCAATTTTCATTGTACATCGACCTAAACTAGAAAAACTGTCTTACAGCAGTGTCACACACCATTAACTATTGATTACAGGCCAGAGCTAATTATGGGAAAAGC